AAAAAAAAAAAAAAAAAAGAAAGAAAGAAAGAAAGTAAAAACAGCTGTATTAGACTTTTTGAAAAGGACTTACAAGGGTAATTTAGCCAAAATGAATTTTTCTGAGATATAATTCACAAGCCATAAAATTTATCCCTGCAAATAAGTGTACAATTCAGTGGTTTTCAATATATTTTGAAAGTTGTGTAACCATTACTTCTATCTAATTCCAGAACATTTTCATCCCAAAAAGAAGCCTGGTACAGGCTTTTATCATTCTTCACCCTGTCACACCCTCCAATCCCTGGCAATCGCTAATCTTTCTGCCTGTGTAGATTTATCTATTCTGGACATTTCATATAAGTGAAGTTACACAATATGTATCCTTTGTGCACATATTACTTGGCAATGTGTTTTCAAGGTTTATCCATGTCGTAACATGAATCAGTACTTCATTCCTTTTTATAACTGAGCCTAAATGGGTTTTTGTCTTATGCATTGACTTTGCAATTTTTTTTTTCTAAATGTGTAAAGATGAGGGCTCACTATATTGCCCAGGCTGGCCTCAAACTTCTGGGCTCAAGTGATCCTTCTGCCTCAGCCTCCCAAAATACTGGGATTGCAGGTGTAAGCCACCACACCCAGTTTGATTTCACAATCTAACACCACATCCATACACAGTATTTCCAGTGAGTAACTTCACTGTATAAATAAATTTCTTTCATAGTCTATCCTGGTCTCTTCTTTCTTTTGACAAGGTACTGTTTGAACTCAGTATCATCTCCTTTAAGGGATTTCCTTAAAAGAGATGATACTGAGGACTAAACTCTGACCTTTTTCCCCTCTTCTCCAAATTCCTGTCTAAAGAGCCTGTGAAGCCACACCCTACAAACCATAAAATGTTATCAGATGGGTTTTTATGTCAATTTATATAACGTGGTTTATTTTCCAACTTGACTCTGGCATAATGTCACATTACAGATAAAGGAAATCAAAGTATTTTACCTCAAAATATATTTCCTCACCATCTTTTGAAATGTCCCTGCAAAGCCATTTTTTTGGTGGAGGGGTAATTGCATCTGTAAAGAATCTCTGTAGCCCTTTCGCTGATACAAGAGCCTGGTGCGGTGGTGGGAGAGGTATCGGCAGGAGCAGCGCTGCCTCCGGAACCTGGGGCTGATGCGTCTGACTTCCCGTCCGAGCCGAGGCCACTAGAGCAGCAGCCATGTCTGGAGACGAGATGATTTTTGATCCTACCATGAGCAAGAAGAAAAAGAAGAAGAAGAAGCCTTTTATGTTAGATGAGGAAGGGAACACTCAAACAGGGGAAACCCAGCCTTCAGAAACAAAAGAAGTGGAGCCAGAGCCAACTGAGGACAAAGATTTGGAAGCTGATGAAGAGGACAGTAGGAAAAAAGATGCTTCTGATGATCTAGATGACTTGAACTTCTTTAATCAAAAGAAAAAGAAGAAAAAAACTGAAAAGATATTTGATATTGATGAAGCTGAAGAAGGTGTAAAGGATCTTAAGATTGAAAGTGATGTTCAAGAACCAGCTGAACCAGAGGATGACCTTGACATTATGCTTGGCAATAAAAAGAAGAAAAAGAAGAATGTCAAGTTCCCAGATGAGGATGAAATACTAGAGAAAGATGAAGGTAATGCTGAGGACTCAGCAGCCCATTTGTAGGTTACTCAAGCCTTTGGCCTAGTCTCTTTGATGGGGGAGGGGAGTGCTTTAAAATTTTTTTTTCTTGCCCCTTATTTCTATTGCCTGATAATGGAAGCTGAAAGGAAATAGTGTCTAGCTTGATAGT